TAGGAGGTATTATATATGGAACGTCCTATATAAAAAAAAAAAAGGTACTGCAACATTTATACACGGAAACTCAATTCTATTTACCAGTATATTATACATCTTATGAATGCACAGTTCCAAGCAGGAATGTGCAACTGCACAATGATGCTTGCTCTTGCTCATTATGATAGGAAAAATGTTAGTCAATCAAAATGTAAAAAAACTCCAACCACAATCCAGGAATAACATACCCAAAAAAATTACCCAATTTAAATGCCAACATCAACATCAATAGACATTTCACTGCTAAAATCCATAAGAAGCCTACAACTTCAATCTGGCAAGTCCTGTCCACTCCACAGGGAACATATACAAGAAAGTAGATCACATTCATTAAAACTGAAGGTATACATCTTTATGCACTTTCCTAAACCATATGAGGAAATTATAGTAACAGTAGTGGACTCCATTATTTTATATACAGCTATATATGATTACCTGGGTGTTGTTTTGTTATATTCCATGGTGGAGCTGTTGTCTGCTGGGACCTTAACTGTGTACTAGAAAGTGACTGTCGTTGTGATGCTTGGATGGCTACAGACTGGGGTTTCAGATCATTAGAAGCTGAAAATGATGGCAAATGATGTAAATATGAAATAAAAACAAATACATCTACATTTGTCTCAATAGTAAATACAGCTACAGTTTAGAAACTTAAAATGTAATAAGGTGATGAGGAAGAATTCAGTCTTTGATTTGCTTTTGCATTCATGCATATGGATGATTTACAGTTTATCCACTTAGTAAGTCTTCTAGCAGCTCTTCTATCCGTCTGTCCACACTGTGGGTAACATCTATTAGCACTTGTGCTATTTGTATATAGAAATAAACCGAATAAATGGATGACTGGACTGAAGAAACGAATAGTTACAGTTTCATTCACACTTTGAGGGTGCTGGAGTTTGACTCCCTGGTCCTATGACCTGACATCCCACTTACATTACCATTTTTATAGTGCAGAAATCTTCCATTATACATTAACATTGTCATTACACATATTCTATTACTAATCCTGCTAATTACTAGTCATATAAATTAATTTTTACTTTGCTCTCATAATTGCTTACTATCCTCGCCAATTTCTCTTTATAATAACAGTTTTTTCCATATTTTTGTGCCACTGCTAATTATTCTGGCATCTTACCATATTTACTTATGTACTTCTTACTCCAAAAAACTGTGTCTCAAATTTATGGTGCATTAAATATAACATAAAATAAACAATTCTGTTATCACACATTTGACTCATTTTTATCCAAATATTCTTACTATTCCTTCCATTCTCTCAAATATTGCTCATATCTAACTTTTCCAAATACTGTTTAATCCTGCTCATTCGGTTGTTTTCTCCTCCCCCCCTTCCTTTGCTGTCTTCATACATTCCTATCTGATGTCACATATATTTCCCCAGTCTTAACCAATATTTCATTATTTTCCCTAACTTTCTCCTTCCTGTTTTGTCATTCCCAATTACAAACAACATTCATGCTGAAAAGTAAAACTAGAAAGGATACACAGATTAAGTTTTATAAGGTAACAGCAGCTTCTATGCTTATATATGGAAGTGAAAACTAAGCTATCAAAGATCTGAAAGGATGAAAGGTGCCTTTGAAGGTGTGTCTCTAGATATACACTTACCAGACCATTTACACAATACAGCAATATGCAATGCATTACAAATATATGGTATAAAAGAAAGAATCTGATAATCACATCTTAAGAATGGACTCTTCAAGACTGACCAAAGAAGCCAAGAATTACCAACCAGATGGACAATATGTTGAACTGAGAAGACAATAGAAGCCTGCCTCGGAAGTAGATAATGATGCACCATTCACTGATGTTACTGGCACCCCAATTACTGTTTTACAAAGTAACTCTTGCACATTTTCTACCTCTTTCTATCCATTTTCTAGCCCCCAAATTTTGACCCATCATCCTTTATTCTGTTACCGAAGTATATGGTTCTTCTAATATTTTAATCTCTATATTTTGCTGGGAACATGTGGCAGCACAGTTAGTTGAGGCACTATGCTACAGGCTGGAAGGTCATGGTTTTGATTCCTGATGAGGTCATTGGAATTTCAATTGACCTAAACCTTCTAGCCGCATTATGGACCTCGGGTAGAGCCAGCCTCTAAAGTAATGAATACTAGGAACCTTCCTGAGGATAAGGGGCGGCCTGTGCATAAAGCTGACAATCTCACCGCCATCTGTGAGCTGACTTCCTAGAAAATTTGGCAGCCTCAACATCTCACAACCACATGGGCCTCCATGGCCTGTGACAGGGGTAGCTTTTTTTTACCTATATTTGGCACCGTTGCTAAATGTACGTTAATGCTATTCTATGCTAATTTCCTCCTAATTGCTGTTTTCTCTCATTTTCTCATTCTCCTCTACTATTCAAGATTACACCTCAATAGCTGGTTACTTGTTACTTATATATTCTCTCTTGGCAGTTTTCATTTCGCACTCTTACATAATCCACCTTCATAAACACTGTTTTTTTCTCTCCCCAGTTTCCATTTTTCTTTCACATCATCTTTTTAAACACTGCTATCTACATTTCTATAATTACGTTCAGCTTCCATTCTTTGCAGAACTCCTATATATATTTAACTGCTTTTTGCAAACCTATGAGGTTTGTTCAGAAAGTTTCTGAAATGAAAATGTAGAGCAGTACCAGTCGTGTGCATGTGAATGCATGACTTGAAATCTATGCAATTCAATTAGTAACTAAACATCTAACCTAATTATATTAAGCTTGTACAGAGTTCCTTCAGGAGAGGTTAATTAATTTCTAAGGACACTAGATGCAACTTTAAAATATCTCTACAATCCAAAATCTGAGTTTATAATCTGCAAAGACAACACAAACTATTTAAATGAAAACAACCAGAAAAACAAGTACACATCTTATTAAAAATACAATTTGTCACACACTGTGAATTCTGCAACAAGAATTCAAAAGTACAGCCACTGATAATACAGCACTTCTTGCACATCTCCTATAGTCAATGGCCTCTCAGACCACAATATTAAATTTCTTGCAGTAAATAATATTACTACAAAAGTAAATTTAATGCCCTTGAAACACAGAAACAATAAAATAAATGATGAAACCACTGGTCAATTTCAACATCTATTAGAAAATGAAATGTGGGAACCTGTTTTCAAAAATAATGATACAAACTATAAGTTTAACTATTTTTTATATATTTTCCTAAATATCTTTGAAGCTAGTTTTCTCATTCAGAATAAAAGTGTAGGTAGATTAAAAAATGATGGGATTAAAGGAATAAAAATATATTGCAAACAGAAAAGGAGTATGAGCACAAGCGTGCGTGTGCCCATACACACACACATCAGGAGCAGTAATAAGCCCCATGAGAGCATATCACATTAAGTACTGCAAAATCCTGAGCAGAGTTATAAACAGGCTAAAAGGCAGCATTACTGTAGACTTATGACAAAATTGGATAATCAGATAAAAACAACCTGGAATATAATAAAACATGAAACAGAAAAATTACATCTGGCTGGAAAAATACCAACTCTTATAACCGAGGACCCAGAAGTAACTGCTGATGCCTTCAATCATTTTTTTCTTATGATTACTCCAAATGTAAATTTGCATCAGGAAGTGAGAGGTGATGCCATTTCCTTTTTAAAAGAGGTTATTTCATAGAAAATTCCCTTGTATTATGATCATTCCAACCAGTGAGACTGCGATAAAAAGTATAATACTCATATATTCCCTCAAAGGAAAATAGTCATCAGGTAATGATGGAATAACAGCAAAATTTTAAAGTCTGTGTTGCTCTAATCAGTCACCCATTAACGAGAGTCAGAAGTTCTGTATTAGCAGTAGCACTTCCTTTTGCTTACTTCCTGACATCACCATCACTCCACATTTCATAGTTCCAACACCTTTAGATACAATTCTGCAATATCAGTCACCTGAAACAGCTGCCTTTGATTCAATTCTCAAAGCACTGACTGGTCCACCTGAAGTCTCAGCCTCTTTCTCAGCAGTCATCTTTCTCAACACTGATGTTGGAGTGAAGGCAAGGGGAGTTGGAGATGACATGTGTTTTGCAGGAGATGAAGAGTCATTAATCTTCAATCCACTATTATTTGTTGCATTACTTGACATTCCAGGCATACTTGGAGAAAGGGACCTAAAATCATATTTTATGCACATTAATCCATACAAAAAATGGCATAAACCTACTGAAATTATGTATTTTTGTGGAAGTACGAAGGGTGTTCCGTATATAATGCCTATTTTTTTTTGTGTTAATATGTAACGTCTGAGCTGGATGTTCATGGTGTTGTAGTAAAGGATGGACCTTCCTTCCAATGTACTGTTAGTTTGGCTGTCGTGCGACGGATAGCGACAGCAGAGCAGTCTACCAAAATGGTGTCTGACGTAGAAGAGCGTATGAAACAGAGATGTGTTATTGAATTTCTCACTGTCAAACAAATTGCACCCACTGACATCCATCGATGGTTGCTAAAGGTGTATGGAGACGATACAGTGGATGTCAGCACAGTGAGGTGGTGGGTAGTGTGTTTCAACAGTGGCGAAAGTGAAGTGCACGACAAGCCACGCCTGAGGCGTCCCTGCTCAGCTGCCACTCCTCACAATGAACAGCACCTCGATCAGTTCATCCATACAGATTGGCAGATAACAACTATGGAACTGTGTGCATGGCTTAATATGGGCTGTAATGCACTGGAAATGATGTTGGGGAAGCTGGATTATTGCAAAGTTTGTTCCAGGTGGGTCCAGCGGACGCTTACACAGGACCACAAAACTCATCGAATGGAAGTCTGTCAGGACCTGTTGCACCAGTTTGAGGCTGAAGGTGACAAGTTTCTGGACATCATCATCACCGGAGATGAGACATGGTGTCACCACTATGAGCCGGAATCCAAAAGACAGTACATGGAGTGGCAACATCTGGATTCCCCAAGAAAAGAGAAGTTCAAGACACAGCCATCGGCAGGGAAAGTGATGTGCACGGCCTTCTGGGAGAGGCGGGGTGTGATTTTGTTGGATTTCTTAGAGCCTAGTGAGACTGTCAATTCTCAATGCTACAAGACTACGCTGACTAAGCTGAAAGCTCACATTTCCCGAGTCAGGCCAGAGAAGCAGACAACCTTTTCTTGCAACACAATAACGCTAGACCCAATACCAGTTTGGTGACCACCACGTACATTGCAAGTTTAGCTGGACTGTCCTGCCACATCCATCTTATAGCCCCAATTTAGCACCTTCAGACTTCCATCTCTTTGGGCCTATGAAAGATAGACTACGTGGGAAACATTTTCCAGACAATGATGCTGTCATTGCCTCTGTAAGAAAGTGGCTAGCCTCTGCTGGCGCAGACTTTACGGGCACAGCATACAGACCCTTGTTCATCGCTGGCAAAAGTGCATAATGAATGGTGGTGATTATGTGGAAAAATAACTGTAAGTAGCTGAAATCTTGCTCTATTTAACTGTGTTATTATGCTTTCTGTATCTGTTGTAGTTTTCATTAAAAAAATAGGAGGCATTATACACAGAACTTTCTTTATATATATAAAATCTGATGGACAAAAAAGTAGTCATAGGGTGAACAAAATCTATTTGAAAACATTTTAAAATATTTGTTTTATTTAATCATTCTTGCTTCTTTGGACTCTGACATTAAGGGAGGAACATGGACTGAGGGTATTTGACATTAGGGTGCTGAAGATAATATCTGGCCCACAGATGGATGAAGTGATAGGAGGGAGGAAACTGCATAATGAGGAGTTTCGTATCTTTTACTCTTTGCCAAGTATAATTAGAATTATAAGGTCAAGGAGAATGCGATGGACAGGGGAGGTAGCATGTATGCGGAGAAGAAGAATGCATATAGGATTTTCAGGGGAAAGCCAGAAGGAAAGAGACCAGTAAGATCTATATGGAGGTGGGAGGATAACAGGATGGGGTGGCACAGACTGGATTGGTCTGGCTCATGATAGGGATCAGAGAACACTTGTGAACACAATTATGAACCCTCACGTTCTATAAAACGTTGGTAAATTCTAGAGAAGCTGAGTGACTGGCATCCTCTCAAGAAGGACTTGACTCCATGGAGTTAATCATTCTTTTTATTCAAACATAAATTACCACTCCTTTTTCAAGCTGACTATAGTACAGAGAAAAGAACTTAACTGCCATATTGCCACTGGTGACCAAAACAAGCTTATGGAATCTTTTTAAACATTTGTTGTTTTCTCATTTGTGTCTGTTTAATACAAACGAAGAATTTCCTTTTTTTCTTTTACCACACTATTTAGAAGGGAGCTTAAGGTGAATCAGATTAAACATACTGGAACTATATTGTATTTAAAGATCCTGTTGCATTAATATATCTTTTATACACAATATAATTCCATCAATAATGTAACTATTTCTATCACTCCTTCCCCTCATAACATGTTTCGGCCCCAAACAGCCATCATCAGGTGTCTCAGCTATGCCAAAACGGTTCCACAGTATAGAACGTCCAATTTTCACATCACATTTAACTGCGATATTTCATAATTTAAATATTGGACGTTATAATCAATAACTTAGTTAACATCTATTAAAATACCATATGCTGTTATTTACTTCAAACTGAAATTTATTAAAATTTTTTCTTAGAATTTCGTAAAATTCTTTTTTACACCTCTACCAGGGGCATCATATGCTTGTCGAAACGACATAGCTCGAGATCCATCTCTTTGGATTTTTAGCCTGTAGTGGCCTGGGTATTGGTGTATTGTTTTCCGTACATAAGCCTGTTGTTGTGGTTACGTTTTGCCCCTTGCTTGTATGTTGTTCTCATCACCTGCATATGGTGTTGTCTTCCCTTGTGTGTGGATGTTACAACAAGGGAGATTATAATTTTAAATTAGTCCAAATCTCATCTTTTATTCACTCAAAACTGGTGGGTGATAACAGGAATTCTAAGCCAATTTTTAAGCATTGTGCTAAAAATCTTATGACATCCATGCACTCTTGTACACATGACAAAAATTTACTCCAACTTGGTGGGAGCAGCATCTGGCTCTTCTGCTTGGCCAAAGCTCAACAATTTGCAGGAAACTCTTAGATGATCATGCTCCATATCTAACCCCATGGATCACAGAACTTCAGGAGTTAATGCTCATTTAGCTACTTAAGAAATTCTCTGCCTTTCTGAGCAGCCGAAGTTTGTCGCCAGTCAGTCCCTTTTGTTCAGGATCTACATCTGACACACACGTGTCTGTGTGTGTGTGTGTGTGTGTATATACAGGAGGTTATTTATATTATTTGTTTCAATATTTATATTTACATCTACAAATTACTAACCAAATTATAACCCAGAACTACCATACAAACTGAATGAAATTTCATTTGAGATTAAACCTTAGTAATACTTACTGCTGCATTTCTTGCCGTTTGCGAAAATTCTCTTGCTGCTCCTCCAATTTCTTCTTTATGAGTGCTGACTGCATTATGTTTTGTGTATGGGCAATCAGCTCACGAGGTGTGGGCACTCGATGTGGTAAAACTGTAACCCAAGGGTCACAAATCACTAGCTACATAAATAATCTGACACAGTCTGCTTTTATCGGTTCTCACGGTCTCTTCGCTTGCAGATTTCTTATATTTTTTCTTCTACCCTGAAGATGGAGGCGATACGTTCCTCCGAAACGTCGGTTAACATCACATATACATGGTGCCAAATCCCAGAAGACTGCTTTATTCATAATCACCGCCGTGAAAGCCTCAAATTTTACACGAGATGTATACCGAATTTAATTAAGTGCCTCAAAAATGGTTCAATGACTGAAAAACAGGCTTAGCACACAAAATATCAATCTCACTACACACTGTAACTCCAACTTGAAATATTCACTAACATAGTGTACATTTAACAGAATACAGGATAAAAACAATTTATAACTTTACGCAGTTTAGTGGCCATATTGCGAATTTAAAGGTGTATCACTATGGGAGATTTTCTCTGGGTATTTTGTCCATTGTCTGGATAAAAAATATGACATTTCAGAGGCTGCCTCTGTGCACCTTGTCTCCATCTTCATGTAAAAGGAATGGTTACAGAGGGTGTGTAGAAACCATAGTATAATGAATTAGCATATTATTAAAATTAAAACAGTTTGCTTCATTATGCATAATTCTTTTACAATACAGTACCACTGCAATACAAGCAAAGCAAAAAAGCATAACCTAAGGTATATAATAAAACCGGAACAGTCACAGACACTTAGCATACAACATGCTGAACTTACCTGTATGCTGAACTGACAAAGTGTTGGGATTGCTGGCCAAGTTAGGAGATATGACAGAGGACTGCTGACAATAACCTGAAATCACCATAACAAGAGTTTACTTTGTAAACTATATTCAATTATTGTGATCTGTCAAGGGAATAATTTGGGAACCAATAATACACAGGGGTCACAGCAATGTCTAATGCTTTCACCATTATCTTCAAATACATATTGGTAACACAAAGGCCTTTTGAACACACAGCTTTTGTGAAAGCTTTTATTTCTTATATTAATGAGATAATGAAAACCTCTGATAATCATTAAGAAATTAAGAGAGGAACAGATGATATTATCCATTCAAAAACTGTTATCATCATATCACCATTCCTTTATTTATTTCTTGTAAGAATACTGTCAGTAGCTAATATATATTATACAGTCTTGAATCGATGGCTGGTGAAAAATGAATTGGAAAGGATGTGAGGCTGTGGCCTAATTTGAGGTACCATCCCAGAATTTGCATGGAGGAACTACAGAAAACCACAAAAACCTCAGTTTGGATGAGACCTGGGCTAAAATTTGAAATGGGGCCTGAAGAATATGAAGCAAAAGTGCATTTAATCTACTTTCCAAACCACAACAAACCAGCATACAGTACAACTTTGATATTATGAGAATTTATAAAATATGCAAAAAAAAATGCTCATTCTAACAGGCACTTCTACCCGAAAATAACTGAAATATGCACAGTTCTGTCCCATAACTTCTGATTATGTATAATATACAATGTGTGGCATTAAGTTTTAAATATAATCCAGGAATGACAATATTTTTTCTTGTTTGGAGTGGTTATCACAGGGATATGAATATAGAACATTCTCATCATCAACATTATTTTATATGAAGAGTTAAATATTTTCTTAATTTTATATAACCTCTTCTACTCACAATAAACTGTCAATTAGAAGTCATTCTTTATAAGCAAATGTCCTGCCTACTATCTGCAGCATGTTATCAAGTCTTCACATTCTGCCCTTAACTTGATGCATGTGCATGAGAATAAACATGTGGACTTGTTTCAAACTTCAGTAGCACACATAACATACAAAGCAATTTAGATCATACCAATATAATATTGTGGCATATCTGCTCCATGCAAGAACAGCTGAACCACAGAAACAGCTGTTTCTAAGTAATACGTGCATACAACAACGGAACAATCAGGTTATGCAACCTGCTTCTAGGCAATGGTTTGGTAAACACACTTCTACGCAGGCACAATGATGTCACACTCCAACAGTACTTAGCTATCATGTGACTTGTTTTCTGTGTGGGCTGTGCTATGCAACAGCAGAACTGTGTTTTCTGTGTTGTCTGTGCCGTGGCTATGTACATGAGTCTGCCTGCAGCTAAGAGGAGTTCAGAAGAGTTCTTAGCTGGGTTCTGGGATTCTAGGGTGATTGAACAAGAAACGGCAAGAAGACTGCATGGTAATCTGAAGTGCCAGTTTCTGTGTTGAGATCCGTTGCCAGGAAATGACTACTGGAAACTGAGAATCCTAGTGTGTGTGCAACGGTGAATTGTAAATTGTGTAAATCAGTGATAGCGCTGTTTCAACTGTAATTAAGAGAGACTGTAGCCAAAGTACCAATAAATCCAATCATCCAAACTAGAAGTCATTATTTTTGTTACATGTACCCCTACTACACATGACAATACTTATATAGATATATTAAGCTGCAGGTTGATCTATATGCCATGATTGGAATACATGCATTTTCTGATGTTACATACATTAAAAATTATTGTTAAACAACGACTAAACTTAAGAGCAAAATACATTTATGGTAGCAACCATTCATAATAAAAATAGCCCTTTTTCTAACATATGAGGATAGAATCCATGCCATCTGTAGTTCCTGTGCCTGTGCTGTTACATTTGTAGCAAAGGGCTTCTTTTTTTATGTTCGTCCCACAGCCACAGAAGTCACAAGGGGGATGCAAGGGGGACAATGTTAGTTTGCTTAGGTAAATCATATGCCTGAACAGATATCCTCTGTGACATATCTAATCTAGGTAAGTGGAAGTTCAGGGGAAGCGGAAACCTGTGGAACAAGGACAGAAGTATATTGCACAATCCCTCTAAATTACAGTAGAATTTAATTAGACAAGCAACACAATACATAACAAAACAAGCTACTGAAGTGAAGAGGGAATTCACAGGATATCATGTGTTTTTATGGTTAAAACTTGAGGGGTAAGCTGCTCATGGTTACATTCTGGAATGCTAACGTTCTCCTACACAATGGTAGGACAGAGAGGGTGGATTAATAGAATCATTCTGGGCCGCCAGCCATAAATAACTTCTGAAGCACTGTACTTGTACTATAGTAGGCATAAAAAGTTATAGGAGAAGAGTGGCAGCTGGTTAGAAAGCACCTGTTATGATGATGGTGATGGAGAAAAGTCATCATTCTATGTCATGGTTTTCCACATATGTAACACCAAGAAACTGATGATTCCAATGGTTTTTGTCAGTATAATGAAGACCTCGTCATAAGCCATATTCACTCTATCACATTTTCACTGTATAGAAAAACTCTGAAGGTAGTTTTGTTTGGATTTAAAATGAGATAACCTACTTTATTTGAATAGAAAATGAATTACAAGTCTTACAACAAAGTTCCCAGAAATATGTTTGGACCAAAGAGGGATGATATCAGTAACTGAGGATATTACACAACAAGGAACTCTGTGATATGAAGAAGACACCTACTGTTCTTACTGAAGTGGAATGTGACTAAGATGGAGACAATAAATGCATATGAAATGTTGATAGCGAAACCTCTTGAACACCAGCAATTTAGAAGACTAAGAGAACTGGGAGATAAAAGTATGATTAGGGAAACAGGTTGTGAGGGTAAGAGCAGGTGGAACTGGTTCATATTAGGGATGTAGGATCTTCACATTTTACAACCAGTGAAGCAGCCATATAATCCAACTCATGCAATATAAATGTAATAACTATATTGTGAATCATTAAAATTGCACTCTTCTTGTAATCTGATCAGCTTACCGCTATTTAGAGGAGATGGAATACGCAACTGCTGCTGCTGGTGCTGCTGTTGCTGCTGCTGCAACATCATCTGATGTAGCAGTTCTGGCTGCTGTACATGAGGGTGCGGAGAAGTGGCTCGAGGAGACACACCTACACAAAACACATATGTAGTAACTTAGCTTAATACAGGTCCAACTGATATAACATTTACACACATAACACTTTATTCTCTTGTAAGTATCACTTAAACATTCATATGTAGGGGCCGGGATACTGCAGTTGGTATAGCAACTGCCTACGGGCTGTACAGTGGAGGGGTCAGAGTTCAAGTCCTGGTAGGGACAAGATTATCTCCTCTCCATGCCATCCAGGCTGGTTCTGCGGCCCAACCAGCCTCATATCCAATGGGTACTAGGGGCTCTTTCCCTAGGGGTAAAGTGGCTGACGTGTGAAGCTGACCACTCATCTCCAACTAGTGACAAGGTCAAGAATATGTGATCTATATGTCCACTTCCCCATATGTCTTTATGACATAGTGTTTAATTAGTTAAGCACAGGGACAACTTTACCTTTAAACTCATATGCATGCAAGGAGCCAAAATGTAGAGACTGAACCGTGCAACGGTTCTTCTCTGTGAAGTTCCTTGGAGTCCCNGCAGGGTCAAGGGACACGGCTCAAGACTTTACAGAAAACAGAACTATTAAGTCAAAGAGATTAGAGAGGGTAATGAAACCTTGCATAATGGTATGGGGAAAGCATTTATTAAAAAACTGGCTTCACCATAACCATACTTTCGAAGACCATGTATTAAAATAAATATCCATTCTTGTAAGATGTATATATATATATATTAAGTGAATGGACTGATTCTTGATAGTCATTTCTGTTAGAGGCTGAGTTGAATTGCAGATGGAAGGATTATGTCAACTGAAAAACCCAAAGACCTGCTACCTTCTGGCTTATAGCATAGTGCCTCAACCATGCTACTGTATACACAGAGAGAGAGAGAGAGCGTGTCTATGAAATGTCAGACACTAAATCCACATTCATACAGTTGTTTGCCCAAGAACACTTAACTGTGTTAAACCTCTTGATAATGACTAATAAAAAGTAAAAAAAGTAAAGCTATCCCTGTACCAGACCCTGAAGGCCCATAGGGTTGTGAGATGTTGAGGGTCCCACACTATCTAGACAATCGGCTCAAAGATGGTGGTAAGGTTGTCAGCCTTACACGCCGGCCGTGCTTTACTCCCCAGGAAAATTATTTAATTAATTCCTGGTACTCATTTCTGCTAGAGGCTGAGTAAACCCCAGGGCCTAGTGCGGCTGGAAGGATTAGGTCAACTGAAAAAAATACAATGGCCTCATCAGGACTTGAACCTGCGACCTTCCGGCTTGTAGCATAGCCTCTCAACCAGCTACGCTAGGCACATTTTCACCTGTTTTTTCTGGTAGTGCTGAAGAGCACAGCAGCCAAGTGAACAGCAACGAATCAAATTCTTCCACGCTTCGGCACATCAAATTCTAAACTAAAAAATTATTTCCATCGACATATTTTCTACAGTTTTTCATGATCATTACCCATCACAATAAATACTGTCAGTGTCATGAAATCTGTTTCTTCAACAGAGTCTAATATCCTCACACAAAAATAATGACACATGCACCACTGACACCACAGCGATACAAACATATTAAGGAAAAGGAACTGAGATATAACGCTCATTTCTCTAGTACAAAGTGACCAGTATGACGTAACACAGTTCTGTTCCAAGAAGATGTTGGAAGATGATGAATAGGTTCTGAAAAGTAGAGAGTGAACAAAATCTATGCAATAATACCATACAGTTTGAATCAAGTGTAGTGCAGTAAGACTTGCTGACAAGACAAAATCACTATAGTAATGTAATTAATACTGTGACTTACTAAAGCAATTCAAACACAAGTGCCAGATTAGCCTGTCACACCTGCCACTTCACCAACAGTAATATATTTTACCTGGCTGCATTTGCAACTTCAAGATGCTAACAAGAACTTCCCTGTGGCGATGCTGCATCGCAGAATTTTGCAACTGCTGCACCAAGTGCTGAGGTGTGATCTCACCATGTTTTAGTCCTGAAAAAAAAATTCTATAGGTCTTACTGATACAAAGGTTAAAGAATGTATTTGGAGGCTAATATGCAGGATGGCATAACAGTAATGTTCAGCATTACCTGCAAGTCAGGTTTGAGTTGCCATAACAGTGGTTTTCTCTGGGTAAGCAGTGTAATGACTGTGACCAGAATGACCACGAAGGATGCGAACTACATATCTAACATGGCAGTCATCACTTTGAACAATTTTTAAAACAGTACAGAATAATATGGAGGGAGTCTTAATGTTATTGTTGTCACAACCTGTGTAGATAGATCATCCATTTATTCAATACTTCTTATAGACAAAAGTTAATACAGCATATGAAAAGAACGTCTGGCAAAGGTTGCAATTTAACTTTTAAAAAACACAAGAGGCTTGAGGTTTTCAATAATTTCATGTTCATTTACTACAAAAAAAATTGTCGCAAAAGTGATAAACTTCATTAAAAATGTATTAACACACATTACCTACTCCTCTCTTTGTATTTCATTAAATACCGTATTTACGCATGTATAGGCCGCAGCACAATTTTCAGACAGAAATTATAGAAATAATAATTTTCTTGGAATATTATTTCAGGAGTAGAAATTATTCCGAAATAATTATGAATATATTTTTTTTTAAATGAAGTGTGATTTCGAATATTTCGAATATAAGCCGCACCCCAGTTTTCCTCTTGAATTTTTGGCAAAAAATGTGCGGCCTATACATGCGTAAATACGGTATACTGTCATGTGTATGAGTGACTACAGACAGGGTTTGGATTGATGACTTGATTTACTCACCACTTATACTCATGACTCTAACTACACTGACACACACAGACTAGTGTCCTTGTCTATCACAGTCCCCACTAGCAGTTTCCTGGTAACAGATTTTAACACAGGAACTGTAACAGTCTCAACAAATTACATACTCCAAATATCACACACAAAGTCTTCTCTTCACAGCTGAACTTTCAACTGAGCACCTTTACGACCAACTTGCAGCCATTTCACACCAACCTCCTAGTCTTCTCTTTAAAGCCAGACTTTCAACTGAGTAATCTTGCAACTAACTAGTTGTCCCAAACCATTCCGGTTATAACATCTCGGAATGAACCACACAGAAAACGGCAGCCCTCTGTTGATGTACCATTGTTGCGTTCATGTGTACTGCTGCAGGAACATGTTTACTGAGCTGCTGCATAGAAATCCCTCTTGTATATTTGCTTATATCGTGGTCGTTGCATAGTAATGGCTCTACATGCTATAGTACGTTACACATTTCAGATTCTACTGGACTTCACTTCTAAATCCATAGCTTAAGAATTACATCAATAATTAACAGCTTGCTTCAAACAACTCAACACTAAAAGATAAATCTGATATTGTTTCCTTGAGTTCCTTTGTTGTTAAACTCTCATTTCCATCTCATCCTGATAACCTGGCTTTCCACCACAAAACATATGAAAAACTTTTTTGATAACCAAACAAGAGCTGCATGTGGGATATCATGTAGACATCGGTAACATCCATAACTTTAGTGAGATACATCAGTTCATTTCTTACTCCACGGAGAGGAGTCTTTCTTGACAAGAAACTTCTTGCCTCTTATGCAATTTGAAGGCTCATACTATTTCACAACAACCCACCAATGGGTCATATCCTGAGCCAGAAGACTCCAGTTAACACACTCACATTCTAATTCCTTAAGATCTACCTTAACAGTAGAAAACAGTTACTGTTCAGCATAATTTCAATTTCATGAAATGGAAAGTTCCCTGACAAGGTCAAAAAGGAAATGGCTTAACTTACTCAGTTTTGGCTGCTATCTCCTTCAAAATTGTCTTCATTGGAACGGATACAGTGATCCAATCATTCTTTCCATGCTTTAAAAGCACCGTGGAAGTCATTTTCCTTAATGCTGTCAAGTACTGCTTGCAATTCCCTTTGGATGTCAGACAATGTTTCAAAATGTCATCCCTTCAGTTTCATTTTCAATTTGAGAAACAAAGCGAAATCACAGGGGCTAAGTCCAGCAAATAGGGAGGATGGGGAAAAATAACCATGTTGTTGTCAGTCAAAAACTCTGTGGTTTTCAGGGATGCATGGGAGGACATGCTGTCATGATGGAGCCAGTTGTGTTTGCACCAAAGTTCTGGTCTTTTTCAAGAACATTTTCCAACAAGCATCTCAAAATGTCACAGTAAAAGAAAGAGTTGACCGCAGCATTAGCAGAAACATTCCCCTATAAACACAAACACGTACGTACGCACGCGCGCGCACGCACACACACAAACCAATGAGCATTCTCTCTGTTGAACTCTGGGCCTGCCACGCCTTCTTTTCCTCTTGATGATTGTAGGCTCTTCCACTGCAAAGATTGTGGCTTTGTTTCTGGATCCTAACTGTAAATCTACCCTTTGTCACCTGTTATGATCATAGAAATAAAAGTTTGGTCCTCATTAGCCTTCCCACGTAGCTCAAGACACACATTTATGCGCAGCTGCTTTTGATCATCTGTCAAGAGTCAGGAAACAAACTTTGCAGCAATGCAGCTCATGTCCAAATTTTCTGTTAAGATCTCCTGGCAAACTCCATAATTGATTGCAGTGGTGTCTGCGAGCTCAGGGATTGTTTGGCGATGGTCTTTATGAATGAGTTCTTGATTTTTTTTATCATTTTCTGTTGTTTAGTTGTCCTGAACATTCATCATCTTCAACTAACACTCGACCGCCCTTGAAATGTGAATGCCATTCAAAAACCCTCTCATCTTCTTTCATTGAGGCAGTTACAACAATAACAGTCTGGGAACTTTCCGATAGCACATCTGAAATACTGCCTTACCTTGAATGATGGCCTGGGCTTCTGGCCTTTGCAGTAACTCCCTACTGGGCTGAGCACTGGTTATCATCAGCTGAAGTTCAGGGGGCAATGGAGACAATGATGGCGGTGGTGGTACTTGGAACTGGGTTGGTACAGTTACGGCAACAGGCACATGACCAAGGCGAGATGAAGCTTGGCTCTGTTGCTGCTGCTGCTGGCTTGACACAAGCAATTTGTTCAGCACTTCTTGCTGCTGTTGTCGTTGCTGCTGCTACATTAATAGGAAAAAAAGTCTGAACCACACAACGGATGTTGTATTTTTTCATTAAAGTGCAACAGATGTTACACATTACAACAAACTTCAATGAAACTCAGAAATGCATATACAAAACAAGAATTTGGGAAAATACAAATCTGGTCAAAACAGGTTATTGCTTACGATAATAACTTCGTTCCACAAAGCACCAGCTTTACATAACTTTTTCTCTTGAGAGAATGCAACAGGCCTTTTGTTCTCTATTTCTGCTCCCACTTCAGGGAAGAGCATGTACATATAGGTTCTGGCTCTCCATACGACAAATATTCACGTATAAGATAGGTGTGACTGTTGTATTATCACCTAGAAACCCCCAACAGCAAGGGAGAAAAGTGTAGAAATTAAAGGATTTTTAAGGATTACGTTCAGACATACCCATAAACAATGCACTTTATTAAATATAGCGTGCAAGCATTTCTATTGATACAACTTATTTCAATAACAGTTTTTTTTAGTATGTTAAATGTATTTTCAGAACCCTACATAAGAATTTTCCTATCAGTATGATATTAAAAGTAAACAAGTTTGACTTTTACTTTAAATATTTCAATATCTTTTATGAAAAAGGTGGGTTGAAATAAACATTTTACTTTTTGAAGAAAGCAGTCTTCTGGGCTTTGGCGCCGTGTATATGTGGTGTTAACCGACGTTTCGGAGGAACGTATCGCCCCCATCTTCAGGGTTGAAGAAAAAGTATAGGTAAATCTGCAAGCGACAACACCGTGAGAACCCTGAAGATGGGGGCGATACGTTCCTCCGAAACGTCGGTTAACACCACATATACACGGCGCCAAAGCCCAGAAGACTGCTTTCTTCATAGTCACCGCCGTGAAAGCCTCAAATCTTACATTTTACTTTTTTTCCATTTTCCTCTCCAACTACCTGTTTTAAACAGATTTCTAATTAACACACTTTTAAGGGACCTTCAGGCTAAAATATTAATAAAGTCCCTATTTAATTTGTGATAAAGGAGGTCAAAAACAAACATGGCCACAGCAAAATACTGGACAAATGTGACATACCTGTTGCAACTGAAGTAGCTTCATAACAAGATCTTGTGGAATTTGCATGTGTGGCTGTGAAGTAACAACAGTGGGGCCAGGGCTGGGATGGGAACTGAGTCCAAACCCTGACAGTGGAGTTAGGCCAACCTGGTCTGCCGATGATGATACAGCTGTGTTTAGTGACTGCTGGTGTGTCACAGGCCTTCCTACAGTCACTGGAGTTTCTTGTTGAGATTTATTTAGCATCTGGAAAGCACATTTAAAATCCTAGCCAAATAAGTTATTTTCACATTTGAGTTAAATATGCTTACCAATCATGATAATGCACAATTCCATCCACAGTTTGCTAAAGTTATTCACATGATTCAAATCAGAAATATTATTTCAACTGTATTTGCTAAACTCCAAATTGACTAAACAGATTTAAAAGTTCAAGATGGTATATCAATACAACTATTTACATTCTGGACATTACCAATCATTCTGCTTTTTATTCAGATAAATCTTTTGACAACTGGAAAGCCTATTCAGTTGGGCACAATTGATGCAGCCAGTCCCTATTTCCGCAAATAAAAAACAGAATGAATAAGGTCCATAAAGTCAATAATGGTACTTATACTATTCAATCCTTTTCTTTGCATTTAAAATTATTAACATTCCAAAATGTCTTTTATACACTATATTTAATATGTCTGGCTTTGCATATATTACCAAACTTTACTACATTCTACTGCAATAAACACAGCCTTAAAAATTGAATTAGGGAATCCTTCATCTACTCTTGAGAGGAAATCAAGCCCTTCACCTACGTCTGGGGTAGGAGAGGACAACTGACAATGACATCAGAGGATGAAGCAGGAGACAGGAGCTATGTCTGGAAAATGTCTGGAAAGCAAGGAGACAATATGAGGACCTGGGACAAACTCACAATTTGGAGGTCATGAAGCGAATAGTTGGATCTTCCATCAGGCTGTGGAAAGTGAGTGACTGGACACTGTGGAGGGGTCTAGCCCCTCTGAAACGAAAGAACAAACATCACAAGCAAAGGCCTCGGAAAAGAAGTGGCAGTACGCCTGTTGGCTATTTGGTAGGAACTGCCTTATGGAGGAAGCAATGTGGCACATAGACCCATTGCTAGGCAATGACTGCAAAACAAACAAAGAGACAATGACTGTTGCTATACAGTAGGCCGCAGACAATAGATGGTGTTTTCTGCGCAGTTTGCTAAGCAAAAATTGAACAGCAATGAAGGAGCAATGTTTTCTGTGCGGTCCATGCCAAAATGCTACAGGCAGGATAAGTTTTGAGTTCAGTTAGTGGAGTGAGTTCGTTGGTGAGTGAGCGAGTTAGAGGACTGCTGCAGTTCAGTCCTTGTGAACTGCGCTGTAAGAAGCTGATAGTTGAGGCACGTGGACAGCTCGGGAACCCACAGCAAGCAGAATGTCTGCTGTGGGAAGCTGCTACTGAACGACGACTGGTGAAGACATAGCAGACTGAGAAGACTTAGTATGTGCTGTAGTATACTGCACTGTGCGTAAATTAGTGATAGTGCTACAGTTACTTGTAGCTATGAGCTGTGTGTATAAGAGTTCAATAAATCCAATTACCAATCCAAACCCCACTTACAGTCACTCATACATGTGACACCAACAACTGAATGAATACACCTCCCAGACTGACTGTTTGAGCACCTTTCGCTTAGTGGTGGGTGGAGTCCAACTGTGTTCACTTTGATTCGCCTATTGTACCTGCCCCGGGTGATTATGATGGAGAATTTGGTGGAATAAAGATTGGCAGCGTAAACCGAAGTACTCGGAGAAAACCCGCACCAGCACCACTTTGTCCACCACAAATCCTACTTGACCCAACCCGGAATTGAACCCAGGCCACCACAGTGGGAAGCCAGTGACTAACTACTTGAGCTATGGCAGGGCCTTCAAGCACTCTTAGTCTAAGATGTCAATTATGTATAACACTTAAACTTTTTTGTATAGATTAAACTTTTCTACTCTGCATTTTAAGTTTAACTCAGATTTAAACTTCTAAGAATGGAGAATATCATGATAGCAGGCCCACACTGCATACTGGATTGAACTGGAATCTCTGTCTGAAAAGGAGTCAGATATGCTAATCCACTGCTGTATCAATAGCTGGTAGTTGTAGGAGAAAACAAATATACATGAGTGTGTGCACTTATACACCATACACATATAACTTCACTATGGTCACAGGTCTTTCAGCTGTAAATACATACTGTACCCATGCTCAAGGTATCATTCTGGTACTTCCATTGACCCAATACCTGAAAAGTCTGGTAAAATAGGGAAAAATATTTCTCACTTAAACTCATGTTATGAATATCACTATGGGGAGACATTTCAAATGTAGTAAGGCAAGACAACTGGCTTAAGTGACAAGAATAGGCAGATATCATGTTTGAAAAGAATATATGCTTGCCCTTTATCAAACATTCTTAATAATTTAAACATTATAATCTGATATGACAGTTTCAAATAGCCATTACTCTACAGAATATATATACATTAATTAAGCAAACACCATGACAGAAGAACGTGAAGGTTCAACAGTGCTAATAACGAACACTGCCACTCCATATCATCCTAAGTCAATTCCATCCACTTTCCATATTCACAATACATCTTCCAAAAATTAATCTTAAACTTAATTTTTGTAGTGTTGTGATGAGGCATTGTTCTTTTATGCATAGCCTGAACATTTATGAACACAATGACTGTTTTAATTAGCCCACAAAATTAATTATTAGGTAATTAAAAGCATTCACTTTTATCACACATGGTCAAACTTTTCATAACCACACAACCAACCCATCATATTATCCTACATTTCAGGAACCTAATATTAACCTTTATCGTAGTGGCTTTAATCACAGCCATAGCTATTTATGGCCAAAATTAAATAAAAAGGTAATTAAAACTATGTTCATCTTCTAGGAATATAAATTTCTTCAAAACTATCAATGATGAAAATATAAAATAGTAAGTATTGTGGCATAGCGCCTGAAACCAGAATAATGGAGACTGTAACAGACTGAGAACTATGGTGTGTGTGAATTGTAAAGTGTGTAGACCTAAGACAGGGCTGTATTATTTGTATTGTATTGCTGTATTGTATAGTGCTGTATTAACTGTAGTCACCAGTGGTGGCAATAAATCCAATCCAAACCCCATCTAATAGTCACACCCCCTAAATCGTGACACTCTAGTGCCAGAAGTGGGATGACTGGAAACTGCATCGGATCTTGATTGTTAAACTTCCACACTATGGAAGTGGAATATACGACAAAACTCCTTAAAGCCATGCAGGAAATGATGGGAACGCAGGCTCGCTAGCCTCCAAGATGAATGCCATCCACACAGAAATGAAAGCCACGCAGCAAAAGATGTATGCCAACAAAGCAAAAATGGATGCCACCCTAAAGGAAATAAAGGCCGACCAAGATGCCTGGCCAGAAGAAATGAAGGCCTGGCGAAATGAGATGACGGCCTGCCAAGAAATGATGGAGGCCTTTCTGGAGAGTAAGGAGCCAACTTCAGTACAGATAGAGTCTGAGTCAGAGCATCCACAGGTTACTAAGGAAGAGGCTACAGCGGAAACTTCTGGAACATCAAAGAAGCAGCATGGGGATCAGCATCTAGCCAGACGGCATCGTGAAAAGCTGAGGGAATGGACACAGAAAAAGGGTGGGTCCCAGAAGTTGGCCACTGCCCACAGAGGGGATGACCTGCCATGCAGGAGTGGTACAGCATAAGAGATGTCAGGGTCACAGCAGGAACAACATTGCAAGAGGAAGCTCAAAACGATGGACCTTCATGAAGAAATGTCAGGCTAAACCAGAGGGCATCAATGGAATAAGGAAACAAGTTTTACAAAAGTGGCTGTCTTTGAAGAGAGAGGACATCCAGTAGGATTGTCTGGAAAACCATTGGGCTAGAGATCAAAAAGCAAATGGTCAGTTCTTCCATCAGGATTCGAAAAATGAGGAACTGGACATTGTGGAGGGGTGAGCCCCTTCTGAAACGAAAGAAGAACCTGTACACAAAGTAAGCACCAGAAATTTAGGAGCACTGGCCACTCTACGTAGTTTTGCCCCCACTGATAAAAAAGTGATGGTGGTGACAAACTTGGACCGACTGGCACCTTATCAAGGAGCCACTCAGGACAAGCGGCCTTAGGGAGGGAACAGCGGGAAAGGTTGGAAAGTAAATACCACAGAAAACACCGAGGAAGGAAGGTGTGACCAATCAGAGACCTCAGAAAAGAAGAAATGGTATGCCTGTAGGCCATTTGGGACACAGCCTTAAGGAAGGAGCAATGTGACATGATGCCTCAGAGTCAGAACAGTGGTAACTGTAATACACTGAGAACCCTAGTGTGTGTGTAACAGTGCACCATGAAGTGTGTAGAACAGTGACAGTGCTGTATTAACTGCAGTTATGAGTGGTGGCAATAAACTGAATTATCTAATCCAAACCCCGTCTAATAATCACACCAACCTAAATCATGACAATATCTTAAAGTGAACAGAATGCAGTTGACAGCATCATAAATATATGTCTGTAATCTGTTACAGACTGTTACTGTAAGAGACTTGGACATGAACCTGTTATAAGATAAAAAATCAGAGTAGCAGGTGTCTTAGTTGTCTATCTGCCATGTCAATCCTATGGTCACCCCACACCAATGAACTGCCCTCACACATACACTTCAGTGTGATAATGCCTACATAACATGAAAGTGCACAGGGGAACATCACATTTATCACATACGTTAGGTTCATGCTCATTCCTCGTTGTGAATGGAACATATATATCACACTGCAATTGCTTTCCTTCGGGTGGCCAATACTGTTTGCTGCTGGCTTCCAGAAGCTTAATTTTCATCACTGCTTATAAAGTAGGTGTTTGCCATTATGTGGCTTGATTACAAAACACATACTCTTCTAGTTTTCAACAGTTGTAGGTTCCACTGCATTCCCATACTCATCATAGGAATTTCCATCTTGAGGTGTATATTTGCACATGAATATTTCTTATTTATATTGTGACTATTCATTTCTGTTAGAGGCTGAGTCAACCCCAACGCCATAGTGCAGCTGGAAATTGATAAATCCAATGACCTTATCAGGAATCAAACCCGTGACCTTCTGGCTTGTAGCACACTATCTCAACCAACTACACTACAGCGTGCCCCATTTTCCTTGGGGGTCTGAAGAAAACTATAAACTACCTCACCATTCTTAGGTCAAAATAGTTTTCTGAACATTTCTGTTTTAGAACATCTGGAATTATATACAATAAATTTAATATAGCTGGTTCTATATAACATCTTACAAGGACTAGTCTACTACGAAAATCTCTCATACATTTCATATAAATTAATACCAAATTTTGAGAACTCAGCTTTACAAAAGGTAGGAAAATGTTGAACATTTGTCGAATACACATAATTAACATTAAACAGACTTCTTTAAATTCCACCTGGTTCTAATATGGTTAAATTAATGTAAAACAAACCAAAATTCTCACTATGATGGCATGCAAATGGATACACTGCATCCCCCATGAACTGTTTAAGCCATCTATGAATCATTCTGTCTGAAATCATGAGTTAGTTGGAATTTGTAAGGATGGATATTTGAAACAGAAATATTCACTACACCATACGGCTCCTAATTTATCATTCCTGACAGCATCCATAAATGAAGAAAAACACATGAAGAAAAGTTCCACTGAGAACTCCGGTTTTTGTCAAGTATGCTGTCCAGAAACAATAACTAAATTTCACAAATTATATATCTTAATCAGTTTTAATATTTTTAGTAGTATACAAAATGTGTGTATAATGTAATAATTACCATATTTCATCACATAATTCATCCTCCTAAAATTATGCAACAAAAAATTTGAATGCATTATGTAATGATTTATAAAATGGGTGTGCCATAAAGTAAAAAGCAAAGTTGTCACTGTTCTTCACTAATTAAGCACTATGCCATGAAGGTGTATGGGGGAGTGGACATATAGATCAGCATTCTCTTGACCACATCACTAGTTGGAGGTTAATGGTCAACTTCACATCCTGGCTGCTTTACCCCCGGGGAAAGAACACCCTGTACCCATTGGATAGGAGTCTGGGTAGGCCCCAGAGCTGATCTGAACATGGAGAAGAGAAAATTCTTACCCCTACTGGAACTTGAACTCCAACCCCTTGGTCGTCCAGCCCAGTGGTTCTCAACGGGGGCCATATGGCACCCCAGTGGGTCAAGCCATATTTCTGTGGGGCCGCAGACAAAATTTGGAAAAATGGAGGGCCATGGAAACTGTTGAGTGGGCCACAAAATTTTCACTTCTAAAATAAGATTATTAATAATTTAAAAAGAAATAAAAATGCCAAATGGTCAGTACATATACTAACACAATAACTCAATGACCTTGTTTTTGTGTACCTTACTTAGAAGGGACAGAACCTATTGTACTTAAACAACAACCTTAGAGCTGGGAATTCCAAGTACCGGTAAACAGGTACGCGCCGTCTCAGAGCAGGTAGAGCCCTAACGTATCCTTTATTTTCCTAAATATCTCGCCTTCCTCTCATGAGTTTTACTGCCACCTTTTCAGTAAATTTCAGGTGTTCTTCTGTTCAGTATTCGAAGTGTTTGGAAGAAGACATTTTTCCGTGCAAGTTCTATTATTGTGGCAGTTCCCTACTTTGTAGGTAAGTTACAAACTCCAGCTACTATTTTTCAACAAATAAGCATTACATTTCATTACAGTGTATTACAAGAATATCTCATTGACCTGCAAAGTGATGTAACAGCCAAAGCTAGATTAAAAAACGACAAACAACATTTCTGGATACGCAATGAAATTGCCGATAAATTTCCACAGCTTTGGGAGAAGGCAAAATTGTTTTTTATCAGATTTCCTACTTCATATCAAGTTGAATCTGGATTTAGTCGAGTTCTTCATCTGCTATCAAAGGCTCGTAACTGTCTTGATATTGTGAAGAGAGGTGATCTTCGATTATCTCTAACAATGCTGCAACCAGATATACACAAACCTGCTTCTTCTCATCAGCTGCAAGGATCTCACTAAACCTAAGGGACGCTACTATTATTGTAATATTTTTTGTCAGGAGCATAATTATAAACTGTAAATAGACAGAACATTATATAAGTAAAAATTATGTTATAAATAAAGGTTTTTGTTAATAAACCCATTTCTTATTATCAATATTCCTTATGCTATAAACAAATAATAATTGTTATAAATAAAAGTACAGTTGATAAAGTACATATTTATAATCAATATTACATTTATTATAATTAAACAATATGTGGGGGGGGGGGACAGAACTGAATGAAAGTCAGAAGTGGGCCACGAGCAAAAAAAGGTTGAGAACCACTGGTCCAGCCCATAGCTAGTTGCTATACCAACTAAGCTATGCCAGTTCTCGCTGATTATGTCATGTTTATTATAATTTATACACTCTACAAGGGGTACATGGTACTGTAGTTGGTTGAGGCACAATGTTACAAGCTGCAAGGTCGCAGGTTCAAGTCCCAATGAAGTGGATTTTTTTTTCAATTTACCTAATCCTTCCAGATGCAGGAAGGCCCTGGGCTTGACTCAGCCTCTAATAGAAATGAGTACCAGGAATCTTCCTGGGGTGGTAAAGGGCTGACAACCTTACCGTCATTTGTCAGCCGATTGTCTAGATAATGCGGGACACTCAACGCCTCACAACCCTATGGGCCTCCATGGCCTGTTACAGGGATAGCTTTATCTTTTTTTATACAGTCTACAAGTACAAGTAGCTTTCATTAAATGCTGTGCAAATAAGCTTTCCAAACAGTAAACCATAAATCATTAAGTTCAGATACAAGTTTATTATATATACTACTCGTATATCTCAGTTTCTATATCAAGCCAGAGTTCCTTCAGTGCACATCAGTAACACTGCGTGACTCAATGGCATGCAACAAATTACATGGAATGTAACATATGACAGAGTGATTCTTGTTTGTGTTGAATATAATGTCTACCCTCTCACTTGTCATGCTCAGATTTTATACCTAGCGCTATCCCATTCAGACTTTACCAAACAAAATTACTTACTGATCTTGTATTTCAGGTAAAAAAATATGTGTGAAATATACAGTGATTTGAAGAAAGCAGTCTTCTGGGATTTGGCACCGTGTATATGTGGTGTTAACCGACGTTTCAGAGGAACATCGGTTAACACCACATATACACGGTGCCAAATCCCAGAAGACTGCTTTCTTCATAGTCGCCGCCATGAAAACCTCAAATCTTACATACAGGGATTTGTTGCTTTAATTCTGCAATGAAAAAATGAGGGTGAATATATTACATAATTGGGTAAATTATGTAATGAAATATGGAAATAGGATGATGGATACTGCATTCACCCAACATCTTCAAAACCTGGTAAGCTAGATCTAAAAGAAAGGCAAAAATGAATGACACTGCATTACAAAGTTTACCTGCAGCAAACTAAGTGGGTGTGGTTTCTGAGGAAGTTCACCATTCATGGCTGTAGCAGGTATGACTTTACCATCAGACACCTGCGCAAGCTGCAAATGAAAATGTAAAAGGAAAGAAAAGAAAAGAAAATGCAAAAGAAAATGGAATGAAGTGTAAATAAATAAAACATGCTAATGTAATTAAGCTAGGTTAAATATTTCATACTTATTAAACACTACAAAATACATTTACACACCCATTAAAAAAAAACCGCAAACAACTTGGCTATTGTAACAACACAAGGATAATCATGAAAGGAGTAATTACTAGACATTTTACACAACTTCAAAATAAGCAAGTCCACTGTTCAAAAACAATAAAAATAATCAGCATGTTTACAACCCAGAAATTACTGACACCAAAAAAAAAAAGTCAAATTTCATGCTTATATTAACAGAAAAAATTAAGGGAAATACTATCATCATTTACTGACAGCTTTGTAGGTTTTTAAAATTAATGGTACAGATAGAAATATCACTGCATACAATTCCTAAGAACACTACTAAACTGATAACTGATCTTTATTAGACTTATTTGGATACATGCAAGAAAGTCTAAAACCAAGCCTTCACTTGGGGTCTCATACTTATCTACGACTGGACCAGAGAGACTTAAACAAGCATGACATTTGTCTTGGGCAGAATACAAGAACTAAAGTGTTTACAAAATGATTTAAATTGCTATTTAATTTTGTACACGGCTGAAATCATATTCACTTTTATTTTTACTAGCTAAGTTAAAGATTATTACACACTTATTATGAACATGGGGGCATGCGGTAGCATAGTTGGTTGAGGCACTATGCTATGAGTACAAGTCTGAAGGTTGTGGGTTCGAGTCCTGATGAGGTGGATTTTCTTTTCCAATTTACCTGATCCTTCCAGCCGCACAATGGCCCTGGGGTTGACTCAGCTTCTAACATAAATGAGTACCAGGAATCTTCCTGGGGGGATAAAGGGAGGCTGGTGCATAAGGCTGACAAACTTATTACAAATGATAAATAATTCTGTCCAGTGTGACTGTTGAAGCTTTTACTATTTCACTTCTTAGCACCCTAACATGTTTTGGTCCCTACAGACCATCATCGGAGGGAACATCAATACTTTTAGAAACTGCTATTACATTGGGTGTTTTGATTTTTAAAATACATAAATATACAATATTTGTAATATACACTTTATACAAAATCCAAAATTTCTTACAACTACAGCAACTGTCCTTGATGCATTAAAGTTTTTTTAAAAACTTTTGTTATTTAAGTTAAAATTCTTTAACCGAATAGGTTCGTGTCCTTTGTCCTTTCATTTTTCTTGATGGGGCCGAACTTGTGCCGCTTGTCTTTCTTCGGAAGGTAGTTCTTGTTGTCGTCCTATGTTTGTCCGTAGCGTGCTGCGTTGTTTTAACTTAAATAACAAAAAAGTTTTTAAAAAAAACTTGAATTCATCAAGGACAGTTGCTGTAGTTGTAAGAAATTTGGATTTTGTCTAAAGTGTATATTACAAATATTGTATATTTATGTATTTTAAAAATCAAAACACCCAATGTAATAGTAGTTTCTAAAAGTACTGATGTTCCCTCCGATGATGGTCTATACGGACTGAAATATGTTAGGGTGCTAAGAAGTGAAGTAGTAAAAGCTTCAACAGTCACACTGGAAGGAATTGTTTTATCATTTGTAATACCGTTAGTGTGATGGACCAGAATGAAACAAATCAAATTCTGACAAACTTACCGCCATCTGTGAGATAACTGTCTACAGAAAATGTGGCAGCCTTGAGGTCTCACAACCATATGGGCCATCATGGCCTGTTATAAGGATAGCTTTACCTTTTTTTATTATGAACATAAACATGTTTTATCTGTTCCTCTACTGTCAGTATTTCAAACCAAAAATGATTACACGGATCTCAATGAAACTTCGTACTGATGGTCTACATCAAAATTGTTAGCAGGCAAATTTAATTTTTGTCTGTACTAGTCCAATGAAGCTCAAATAATACACTGTCAATTTTCTAAAAAAATCCATCACCTGCAGAAAAAACTGCATGCATGGAATACAAGTATCCTTAAGATTTAAAATACTTATTTCAACATTTATTTATCAGGAAAATATTTAATGACACACAATGAAGCAGTTTTTAATTTGATACAGTGTGACATGTGAAGTGCAATGAGCTGTGCGCCTATAGATATGCAAGGTAGAACTGAGTGGATATAACAACAAAAATATTAGTACTGTGACATGTTGATCCCTACCGCCCCAGCTCCACGTAGCGGTAACTTAGCGCTCGCGTAATAGGCAAGCAATCACCCCGCAATGCGCAACGCGCGGTGACGTCACGAGCGGAGCCGAAGAGAGCCGAGCGGAGCCGAAGAGAGCCGAGCGGAGCC